CTATCAGTTACCAGCTATTAGCTACGAGATGCGATCCTCTCCATTTCTTTGTTTCTTCATTTTCTCAATTATTATAGTTTTGTGTGTAAATAACACACATTTCTAAGACATGTGACATATAATTAATATTTAGTTGATTTTAGATACATAAAAACTATACTAAAGGAGAAAATAAAGAGACAAAAAAATGGAGAGGATCTTACCCCATTAGCTATCAGCTATCGGTTAGTTTTACGACCAGAGCCAAAGACACTTGTTAAGGGGTTAAAAAAGTAATTTTTTTAAAAATGTGTGCAATAAATGCATTGAAAGTTGAAATCACTAATTTAAAAAAAAAATTATATATTTAGAATCATTAAATAATGCACCTAAAACACTTCTATTTTAAATTTACTTCACAAACAAGATTAGAATAATACTAGTATTTGTTTCAGCATCATTTACTTGCATAATTTGAAAATGATGCTTCTTTTACCATTTCGGTTGTTAATTACATTTCTCCTTATTTAGATTCCCTTGAAATTTGGCCTCCTTTATTGAATACTCCATTACTACTGTGTTTATAAAGTTACCTTGAAAAAGAGAATTACAGAAGTAAAGCTTTTTAGCAATGGCCAAAAATATTCTCCCATAACAGTAGCACTTTAATAAGTGGAAACTTTGTGGAGAAAGGTATGCACACTGACAAAGTTAGTCCATAATGAATTAATCTAAAACCAGTTTCAGCATCATGTGCATGGCAATGAGACATAAAGGCAGCTTGTTAATAGAAAGATAAGGGATCAAACTTTAAAGTTGATTGAATCTCTACTCTTTTAAAATCTGAGCTTACTTTTGCCTGCAACTCTGCCTTTGAGATGCTCTTTTTACTTTCAGTGTGGGACTCCCACACCTTTAAAAATTTAAAAATATTTTAAGTGTTCGGAGACAAATTTCCGGTTTTGGATGCATTCAAAATAACACTTATTTTCTCGTGTTTGAATTCCACCTCAGATTTTATTTTTAAAAAGTCTGGAGATGTATCAGATTTAGATATATTCAGAGATACATCTCCAAAATACCTTCTGGACTCATTTATTGAGTTTATTATTCATGCAAATGATTTAAGCAAAAACTCAATGATATTAATGGAGATGCATCTCTAAAAATGTCTAACAGAAAAGTTGATAAAACACCACCTTGCATGATCTTTTTCTTCATGCTAAAACAAGTAACCATTCCAAAAAATTTTTTTATCTCATTCTCAATCAAGTTTTCAACACAAAAACATCATTCTTGTATTTCATCACTTCAAAGGGAGCAAAACAAGTTGGAATTATAGGTAAAGATCATTCATTTCATCTCTCATTCCTTGCATTAATCTTAGTTTTGAACTAAAAAATGAACGTTGAGTTCAGAGATGCATTCTCGGATGAAGTTTGGTGTGGTCCAGATGTGCATTTCCGAATTGTCCTGCTAGTTTAAGTTTTTACACTATTTTTCTGTTATTGATGGTAATAGATTGCAATCGAATATGTTTCCCAAAACTATTGTAAGTGTGGATATTAAACTTATCATGTGAAGCATGATGTTAAATCGGATGTAGTGAATGATGATGTGCAACCGAATGAAGCTAATGATGATGTTAAATCGGGTGCTCGACCGACCGTTGTAGAGGTAGACGTTCGTGCACAATTTACAAATAAAGAAGTGTTTTTTGTTCATGAACATATGCTACAATGGATACGTAGGGAGACTGGAAAATTGAGGGTTGTTGTTGTAATTGAAAGGCCCGACAATGGTTCGGATAGAAGACAAACATTTGTAACAATGGTATGCGAAAGTAGTGGCATGCACCAACCAAATATTAGGAAGTTGAAACAAGTTGTCACTGAATTGAGGAAATGTGAGTGTCCGTTTAAATTGCGTGGAACCGTATGGCGGATGGGACATGGAAATTTAATGTGATTTCTAATATACATAATCATGCCTTGGAAGACAAGATAGGCGGTCATCTCATTGTATCTCGCCTTGTGCTGGAGGAGAGAGAACTTTTTTCGGACATGACATTAAACATGGTGGCTCCGAAAAAACATACGTCTTTGAAACAAAAGTCCTCTAAATGTTTCAAATATCAAGAAAATATACAATGTGCGTGCTGGAGACAACAAGGCGGTAAGAGAACCAAGATCTGAGATGCAACAACTCTTGAAGCTTTTGGAAGATGACGACTATTTTTCGAGGTACATAGTTTGTGAGGATAAAACCACTATTCGAGATATATTTTGGTGTCATCTTGATTTCGTCAAGTTGTTCAACACCTTTTTCCATCGTGCTCATAATTGAGTCAACATACAAAACAAACAAGTATAGACTTTCACTATTGTAAAGTATTAGTGTTACTTCTACGGAGATGACTTATTCAGTCGGTTTTATATTTTTGGAATTTGAATAAAAAGACAGCGTTACACGGCCTTTGGAAATGTGCAAGAATATTTTGAAGGACCAAGAAAATATGTCACAAGTCATAATCATCGTTCACGACACCGCATTGATGAATTCGATTGCAACAGTATTTTCTACATCGTCCGCATTACTTTGTAACTATCACATCAAAGAGAAACTTAGGAAGATTGCATATCCAGAAACAACAAATTTGAAACCACCGTTGGAACTGGTTAAAACAAAAGATGCCCCTAAAAAGGTAAAATCGAATCAAAGTGACAACTCCACGAGACAGACGCTTTCATATTTTGAACATGTTGACTCATATTTTCCAAAAAAGTGTGTCTTCATATTTTGAACATGTTGACTCATATTTTTCAAGAAAGTGTGTTTAAGGTTGCTCGCATTAGCAAACCATCTCTTTCCTAGCCGTTACCAAAGATCAAATTCATTGAAGATATGTAACTTTTTATGCGCACACACATCGAGCAGATTGTAAATGTTGAAAGTGACGACACCTGTGGTTTTCGAGCATTTCAAGTTTACTCGATAAAGGAGGGGATGGCCACCAATTTGTCCACCGTCATCTTATACAATAGATGACGATGCATAGAGAATCATACATAAAACTATACGGGAACAAAGCAAATTAATATACAATTCTTAATGCTCGTGCTGCTTGTCTTAGTGGTCCGGCTCCATTTGACAAATGGATGTACTTTTTGGAAATAAGACATCTTATAACAAGTACTTATGACATGATGTACATTTGTTTAACACGATATGGTTTCTCAGAATTATTCTTTCCACTTCGGAGTAGCCCACCTCATAATCCATCCGAACACATCACGTGAATTGGTTGGCTATAAAAAAACAATATTTTGTTCATATTTATTTGAATTCGGGATGTCCTATACCAAAAACATCACCGGTGTGGACAACACATTTTACACAATATGCTGAAACATGGTCGGATCACTTTCTTGAAAGGATGAAAGAGTTCACCAAGTTAAGCGATATTGAACGAGAAGCAAATAAGAAAAGGTCAAAGATTGAGCCACCGATAGATTTAGGTAGTGACATATGTTTTGATGCACTTTAGTTGTAATCTAACAATGTATCACATCTTTTTTGTAAGTAAAGCACTGCATATTGTTATAGAATTCAGTGGTACTTTATGGACATTCTTTTTTTCAAATTTTGCTATGCATAATTAGCATTGTAAATTTTTAGGTGGATCCGAAGAGGCATTTCCGAACACACATTTTTTATTAATAAAAAAACAATCAGGGGATCATCCGGAGATACATCTCCGGAGAAACCCTTATTTTTTGAAGAAAAAAAAGTGGATCCGAATATGTATATCCCAAGTATTACATGCATATAAGATCATATTTGTAAGGTCATTACTGCTCTACAACTTCTATAAATAGGGTATCTCATTCCATTTTCTGTACACAAACTAGAATGACTACATATCCCCATCTTACATTTGTGTATTTTAAAGGCACAAAATCTCCCACTTAAATTTCGGATCTGTGAGGACATACTTCTCGTCAATCTAAAAACCAAACTGAATATTCTCATGTCGATATCTAAAAAATCAAAGAGTTGTCAACTTCGAGTATCGTTCATCCTCGATAGACAATCAAGGGAAGATATAATTCACCAAACTTAAATTAAAGACGAATGATGATTTGAAGGGGATGTGGAGTACTTTTTACTGTTACTCAACAAATTATTCGATTGAAATGGGTGCGGCGATTGAAAGATCAGTCGAAAATATTATAAGAATGTTGCAACGTTCTGAATCACCTGTTTTAATAACATGTAATATTAAATTTATGTAATGTTTATATATGTAATATTTATTTTGGAGTTAATTTATATTGGTTTTTCATTCTGCAATTGTTTTTGCTTGTTTCTACTTTGATCTAACAAAACACATTTTTGATATGTATCTCCAAAAATCTCATTGAGTAATGAACTAAATAATCTTACATAGATGCATCTTCGAATCAACATTTTGTGCATATAAAGATGCATCTCCCAATCAAATTTTAACACAATAAAATTTTTCACCATTTTTGTCTCAATTATGTATAAAAATGTGCGTCTAAAAATATTTCACGAAGACATTTTAATCTTGTTACGGTGGCGTGAGAGAATCCATAAGGGAGGAAACATCAATTCCCTATCTCAATTCCACTACTCTTTTAAAAGAAAAACTAAAAATATGTGCAACTTTAGACTACTCTAGTTTTCTAGTAATAGATTGTTTTGTATTTTTATAAAAATACTCTAAAAGTTTGTGTATCATGTGATAACTCTTATTCTTACACTTCCTTTTTCTACAAATACTACGAAGTGTTCTGTTTCAGCTACAAATAGACAACACTGTGCAACAAGATGGAAATCAATTTCATAGATTAAATGATGATACTCCAAGTCTAAATCATGTTCATGATAGTTCAACGGTAAATAATGTTCATGATAGATCAACTAAGTCTAAATCATTCTTCTTACAAAATAAGGCTAGGTGCTAACCATACAAGTAGATCATAACCAATATTCTTCTACAAGGCATCACGGGCAGCTATTCGGCAAGTTATAGCATCTGCAATTGATGAAACTCCAAGTTCCGGGGCAGATATCTTGTAATGCTGAAACATAACAAACTATTGAATATCAATATGCTAGATGGCACACAAAAGATGCAAAACAACTGGATCAGAGCCCTTAACAAACCTTTTGTATCTGGGATATGTTTGCTCTCCCTTCCAGCTCCTCCAAGCCGATTTCTTTTCCTTTGACGAGTTTCTCCATGGCTTTTATCTAGTAAAGAGAGGCATTGTTTAGTTACTTGAGTGACAGTAAAAATAGGTACCATATTTTATGGTAGAATCTTCTCACCTCATCAGGGGTAGCATCAAATCGAGCAGCAAGGACATAAGTTGTGCTTTCAGAGATACCACATCTTTTTAAGGATTCAGTAATCTAGTTGCAAGACATGCTGAAATTAGCAACTTCAATTGGAATTTTGAACCACAACAGGTTAAATAGCAATAGATAATTACATGTTTGGACCCTGAGTAGTTGTAAACGAGCTCGGAATGAAGAGTGCGTGTGATCAAAGAGTCCTGTGATTTGGTTACAAGTGTTTTGTGTGCAGCTGCTAAAACAGGGAAAATATCTGGAATCTGGTGCAGTTGAGAGCAATGTAACATCAGAGAGAAGCTAAAGTCATTGCTAAAAATATAAGTATCGGCATCATGTTATGAGAGAAAGAAACAAATTGAAATTAGTAGTCCTTTATAAACCACAGCAGTGTTGCCGATGTCGGATGACGGTCCATGGCAGAGAGCCAAAATCCCGCCATACCGGGCGCTTTGCGACGCCGTTATAGTGGAAAAACCCGCAATATTGGCTGATATTTACCATTGCTGTGGACCAAAAACCGCTATGTATAACCACCATTGCACCGCCGTGGCCGATATTTGATAACACTGAACCAATGTGGGTTAAAATGTCCTACTAATTACTTTTGTAAATATGCCCTCATAACATAACCTTTTCTTGTGAAGAGGTGAGTGAAATCAGATGATCTTGATCCTCTTGTAAATGATGCTGGAGTTGGGCATGACATAAAGCAAAAATATAAGAAATTATACAAGTGAAGCATTGAGGAATGCAACTTCTGGCTCCAACGTCCCTGCTTGCATACTTTCTAATAGTTCCCTGCAAGAACAATAGTTACATTATATACTTTAGCTAAGAGCAGGTTCCTAATTTTCTGGTTCAATTACACATAAATAGATTATATTTTCATAATTTAATATGTATATCTACTTTTACAGATTGGTGTATATGACCGAATACATACATATAATTTTATTTGCAATCTGTGAGAAACAGGTAGCAGAATACAAGTTAACTAGAGAAACTGTCCTTTTTAATGACAGAATACATTTACAATAAAGACATAATTGCACACACTATAGAGAAAGCATAATCCACAAATAAACTAAGAAAATAGATGGTATACTATTACAAAACAACCCTTATCCAAGAAATTCGAGAGTCTTGGTCCCTCTTCCAAGAATTAGAGCGTTTTGGTCTCTCCCTCCAATAACCATTTTCTCGTTTCCTTTATTTATTCTAAACAGAAACACAAACATATGGAGCATGGATTCTAACACAGAAACCTGACACGCCATGGACGCATCAACATTAGTAATGTAAAAAACATAACACATGCACCGCTACATACATACTTATTTATTTATTAATCATAATTAAATAAAATATTAATATTATTTTAAACGATCTTGGGCAAGTTATTTTTGTTATAAGAAATTATAAAAATATTTTACTTTGACTGTCTTCGCGCTCGCCTCTGAACCAAAAGTCATTTCGAGTGTTAAGTGGCCTTTTACATATACTTGCTTGCCAGAAAGGCCAACCAATGAGCCTTGGAAAGTTCGGATGTCATATGGGTCGAGCTAGAGTCTTTAAAAGTCCTCCAAAACAAGATGTCTACATAGCTCCCAGGATCAATCAGAATCATTGTTGTGAGGGAGGATATCAATGGTGTCCTCGCTTGAGAAGGTGACTTTGGATCCTAACTCCTTCATTTGCATTATTTCAGGTGCAGCATGCATAGTGCTTCCTGCAATAATTTGCCTTGCTTACTTTCAAGGGAAGAATTAGATTCTCCGCCACCAGCAAAGCCTCTTGGGATGGTGTTGACGACAATATTCTAGAACTTCGTTTCGTCATCGTCTTAAAAAATATGACGACAGTGAGTAGTGAAAAATAACGAGTGTGACCCGGGTCAGTTTTACCGGACTCCACGGTGGATGCCAATTGTATTTGCTAAAAGTTCAATGAGTGACAACCCCTAATTGTGTAGGGCTATCAAAGGGTTAAGGTTGTTGTGGTGTTGGAGCAAGCTCATGCAAGGATGGTGAGAAACTCTAAATATAGCATTTTCTGAGTTAATTGAATCTCCTTTCAATCTTAAAATTGAGGTATTTATAAGAACCCATGGGTCTGGATTATTGAACCCAAGAACACATTATCAGTACTTTCCACTCTTAGGAGCATGGAAAATGGGTAGTTATTTCCCTATAATATTAGGGAACGTGGGCCCTATTCGTTGACTGCCCTTCCAATACTGTTACTGAATTGAGACATGTCATTCTCATGTCTTCAAAGATGGACGAATATTTCAATAAATGGCCGACCTTACAGATAATTTGCGATATAACTAGGAAATGGGCGCACGTTGTGATAAACCCTAGTTATATTAATACTACCACTTTGTTTAAAAAAATAAAAAATCAATTTGAATATATTAATAAGTCAATGGATAATTTAATACTATCTAGGGTCCTTTTTATAAGAGACAACTCAATTTTTAGATTCATTAAATATTTAATGTATCTTTAGATTCATTAAATATTTAATGTATTTGGTCTATATATAATCCAAATGGTTTAGTTTTTCAATGAATCTAGAAAATGAGACGTCTCTTATAAAAAAGACTAGGGATGGCAACGGGGCGGGTCGGAGGCGGGTTTAACTATACCCGCACCCGCACCCGCCTCCATGTAACAGACCCGCCCCCGCCCCCAAATCCAATCGGGGGTGAAAATTTATCACCCAGACCCGCCCCCAGTAGAAAACGGGTGCACCCGCACCCGCCCCGCCCCCACCCGCAAAAAATTATTATTTTTTAATTATAATAAAAATTAGTAATTTAATTAAAAAATTGATTATTTTAATAAATTAATTAATTATTTAATTAAAATTTTAATTAATAAATGAATATTAACTTGATTAATTTTATTATTTTAATTGCAATAAGAATATTAATAACTTAATTAAAAGTATAATTAATAAATAAATATTAAAATAAATAAAATAAGGAAATCAAAATAAAATATATTATTTGGGGCGGGGCGGGGGCGGGTGCGGGCGGGTCTTAGTGTCTACCCGCACCCGCACCCGCACCCGTAGTTAAGAACCGGGTTTCACCCGCACCCGCACCCGCACCCAATTAAATCGGATTTCCCCCGTTAATTTCGGGGCGGGCCCGGGCGGGTGTGGGCGGGTCCGGGTTTGTTTGCCATCCCTAAAAAAGACCAGAGGAAGTAATAATTATACACAAAACATACTCATTAATTATATTATCTACTTTTCTTAATATACATAAAATATGTCTTAAGTTATTAGCTTAAAATACTCAAGTCTCTTCTCAGAACATGGAACACGGATATCTTTAGAAATGTTCACACCGGGGTAACTAAGGCAATAAATGATCTCAATAGAATTCAATACATCATCAATATATCAGGTCATACTTCATCAATACTGATCAACTTCAAACCCATTGCTTTGACCAAATTTTAATTCAGGATCATGAAAAATACCGTACCAGACAGACTGATAACTACAACACCTAAGATTATCTCTAAGCACTAAAAAGGGTTTATTAGAAACAGACACATTCAGGAATGCATTGGAATCATATATAAGGCCATCAACTTACTTGATAAGAAAATTTTTGGAGTCATCATGGCTTTGAAAATAGACATTAAGAAAACATTTGATGCCTTGGATTGAGATTTTTTTTTTTATTGTAGTCTTGTCAAGGTTTGGTTTCAACCCCACATTTTACAGAGTCACTACAATTTTGGAATATGCCAAGCTCTCTATCCTCATGAATGGAAAAGTAGTTGGTTTCTTTAACTGTACTAGAGGGGTCAAACAAGGAGACCCCATCCCTCATCTCCTTTTATGTATGGCAAGGGAAACACTCCAGAAACAAATTACATAACCTGTGGCGCAAGGAAGATTGAGCTGCATCTCATCAAGTAATACCTTGATCCCTAGTCACTCATTCTTTTATGATGATTTTACGATATTTTGCAAGGAAACTATTAGGAATGCTGCAATAATTCACGTTCTTCTTCAGGAGTATGTTCATAACTCTGGTCAGCATATTATCCATACTAAACGAAAAATCATTGGTGGAGCAATCAGTCATACCGGACTCACTACACTAGCTAATTTGATGACTTTCTCTATTGGTTCAACTCCGATTGACTACCTAGGTGTTTTTATCTTCAAAGGAAATCCTAGTGTAGCTCACTTTCAAGCCATATCTGACAAAGTTGTTGCCAAACTCACAACATGAAAGGATCATCTTCTGTCTATGATGGGAAGAGTCCAGCTTGTCAGACCCATCATTCATAGCATGCCCATTTCCTAGTTATATCGCTTACGCCTTCGAGCACATTACGGTTTCTACATCCGGCGAGAATCGTCTGTGCAATCGAAGAGTTGGCGAAATCCATCGGCTCCGAAGGACTTGTATCTGGTCAAGCTGTCAACATAAACGCCGAATGATTATCTGATGTGGGATTAGAGAGGTTTGGATTCATTCACCATCATAAAACCACTGCTTTGTTAGAAGGTGCTATTGTTCTTAGTACGATTCTTGGAGGTGGTTTTGATGAAGATGTTGAAAATTTGAGAAAATTTTCTAGATATATAGGTCTATTGTTTCAGGTTGTTGATGATCTTCTTGATGTTACGAAATCTTCACAAGAATTAGGTGAAGCTGCTGGAAAAGATTTGGTAGCTGATAAGGTTACTTATCCAAAGCTTTTGGGGATTGAAGAGAAATTGAACCGTGATGCACAGGATCAACTTTCTGGGTTTGATTCTCATAAATATGCTCCTTTGATTGGTTTGGGTAATTAAATTGCTTATAGGCAAAACTAAATACAATTAATCAGAAATAGCACAAACCAGCACAAAATTAAACTCTAAATACAGTAAAAACTGAATGATGAGGTTAAGTGATCCATTGCATCTATAACAAAGTATTCAATGGCCACTCAAAGACACAAGCAAGCACCTTGATAACCATTTAAAGTAGTTTTATAACAAAGAAGTGAAACATAACTCTGTACATAACAAAAATCTCATTGACAGAAAAAAAAAATGATAATTTTGAACAAATTCTAGATGACAACAAACTCCTCTAACAAGTTTCGCACAATTTTCAGAACATAGAATCCATATGAAGGGATTAAATACTAACTTTGAATTGGTGACATCAATGTAGAGTGCAAGATAAAGAGTGGTTCCATTTATGTCGATTAACTTCATTGGTTTTGCTTTGAAGAATCTATTCAAAAAAACAACATGTGTTATATCATATATATAACTCCATGAATCCATAACAAACTAACTTCAGAGAAAGATATACCTTTGCTTGCTTCGGTTTAAGAAGAAGAGCTTTTTCTTGTTCCCAATGTTGCTGCGAAGATAATGGAGGTTAGGGTTTTCCAATTACTCTTAGGGGAGGGTATTATAGTAAATAAGCTAATAAAACAGTTTGGTTCGGCATTTGAAACCCCCACAGAACCGGTTCGGTTCGGTTTTGTAAAACAGTGTTGAAGGAAGATTGATTTAATCTTTCTTCGGAAACATTTTCAGATCACGATGGATAAATTAGGGTTTAGTTTGAGAAAATTGGGAACATTATTGGTTGTCAGTTTCATAGCGTTCTCTGTATTACTAATTTTTACTGTTAAACACCAAAACTCAATCTTTGATTTTGTTGGAGGATTTTCCAACCACAATCTTACTGCTTCTTCAACTCTCTTGAAACAAAGAACTCGAAATAATACAGTTAAAGCAGAATCACTGGTAGGTGAGGCCATTGTTTAGAATCTATTCTTCTTATTATCAAAATCACTAGTTATGTTGTTGATATTTGATGTCTCTAATTTGTTTGGTTGATAGGTGTTGGGAGATAAAGATCAGAATGCTGTGACAGGGATCTTTCAAGAACCACCACTTCAGACACACACAATCTTAGATATTGGTAAAGCTCTCACTAAATCACTTCTAATTCATACACTTTGCTTATTCAATTATTATTCTTTTGGTTTTTTTGTCAATTTCAAAATTGTGCATAGCATCCTTAGCAACCAATGAGGATCATTGTACCCACTGGCGGAATAGCAAGTGGCAAGAGCACTGTTTCCAATTTATTCAAGTCTCATGACATCCCCGTTGTCGATGCTGATTTAGTTGCTCGCGATGCGTTGAAACAAAGATACCATACTACAATCCGAGTTTCGAGATGATATTAGAATTTACTTGTTTAGTATAGGATTTGTTGCACACCATTACTCTTAGGGCACTCCAATAGACACTATATGGAATATTGATAATGGTAATCATAGGTAATTTGTCCATAGAACTATCAAACCATTGGATTGCGTTAAGTGGAAGATAACCTAGTGGCCATTATCGTATCGTGCTATATTGATATGGATGTTTCTGTTCTGATATTGAATGTTACTATTAGCCGAAAAACAAAAATGTTGTTAGTAACAGATATCAAAAAATAGGGGATTGTTAAAATCATGCAATGCAATAGTGTTATAGTGCCACTATAACAGCTAATTGACAAGAGGAGTTTGTCCAAATTCCGCTATGCTATTGCGGTACAGCACCCGCCGCTATAGCTGTGCTACTTAAAAAAACTGTTTGCAACCTTCTACTATCCATACTGCTTTTAATCAAACTGTTGTTAGTTTCATGATTGCTGTGAGTGTCTATTCATAACTAACACTTTTGACTTCTTGAACTTAGAGACAGAGATGACAAATAATTGAGTTAAATGCTTCTAGAACTTATGTAAAAATGAACACCAAGATGGTTTCATCTATTCATTCACTCTCTTGTAGTTAGAGCTACAATAACTCGGGTGAAATTAACATTGCAATCTGATGTTTTATTTCACTTAGAAATGTGTATGATGCTAATTTTATTTCCACATCTACAGGTCCAAAAGATCATTCACTTGAAGACCAAAAAAAGGATACATCTCTATCTTCTATTACCATTGCTAATGACCAATTACTTGATGGACTTCTAGTTTCCGCATTTGATGAAGCATCGTGCTTAAGTAGGTATCAATCTCACTTATACCGTAAAGCTTCCCCTTATAAACCTTCTGCATATCTGATATCCAAGCTACGAAACTATGAAAATCTTCATAGAAGTTGTGGACCTCGTACAAAATCATACAATAAAGTCATGAGAAAGGGCCCAAAACTTGGCAAAATTGATGCACGTACAAATTGCAAATATCTTGTCTGGACAGCTTCTAATGGATTGGGGAACAGGATGATAACCTTGGCTGCAGCATTTCTTTATGCTATCCTCACGGACCGGGTTTTACTTGTCAAATTTGGGGCTGACATGTTTGGTCTCTTTTGTGAGCCATTTCCCAATTCCTCATGGTTACTTCCAAGGAACTTTCCTTATTGGAAAGATCAGAAACGTATTGAAACATATGAAAACATGCTAATGAATAGCAAGAAAAACAGATCAAATGGGCTTTTGCCGCAATTTCTCATTCTTAATCTACAGCACACCCATGATGGTCATAACAACTTCTTTCATTGTGATCGAAGTCAAGGTCTTCTCCAAAAAGTTCCCGTACTAATTTTGTCGTCGGATCAATATTTTGTCCCTTCCCTTTTTATGATTCCATCTTTTACACAAGAACTGAGCAACATGTTCCCTAAGAAAGACACTGTTTTTCACCATCTGGGGCGTTATCTTTTCCACCCGTCCAATGAGGCATGGGAACTAATTAGCAGGTTCTATGAGGAGCACTTAGCCAAAGTAAATGAGAAAATTGGCTTGCAGATTAGAGTATACAACACTCACCGAGCACCACATGAAACCATTATTAATCAAATTCTAGCCTGCACCCTTAAGCATAAGCTGCTGCCTGATATCGGTGTGCCAAAGACATCAGTGACATCTGTTTTAAAGAAGCAGACATCAAAAGCTGTTCTAGTGGCATCTCTATATTCTGAATATGGTGAGAAGCTGAGGACTATGTATAAGGCAAATACAACTGTGACTGGGGAGGTAATATATGTTTATCAGCCAAGTCATGAAGGGCATCAAAATTCAAAGAATGACACGCACAATATCAAAGCATGGACGGAAATATATCTGCTGAGTTTGTGTGATGCATTGATCACAAGCCCCAAGTCTACTTTTGGGTATGTTGCTCATAGTCTTGGAGGTTTAAAGCCATGGATTCTTGAGAGGGCATATGGGGAAACCATCCCAAATCCACCTTGTCGACGAGCCAAGTCCATGGAGCCTTGTTTCCATTATCCTCCAAAGTATGATTGTAGGGCCAACAACACAGTTGATTTTACTTCCCTTTTTCATCACATGAAGCATTGTGAAGATGTATCTAGTGGACTGAGGTTGGTTAGTGTTAATCACTAGAAGCATTGTCACCAGCACAGAATTATTTGCGTGATGCTAACCAATATTATTGGTCCTCAAGTACAGTGAAAATATGTTGTGTTATTGGTTAGCAGAATGGATTTACTGAAATGGTTTCCAATTCTCGGGTCAGTGAATTAATGGAAACCTCGCGTGACTGATCTGTTTGCGCCAGTGCTAATCTATCGGTGATGAGATGATATACAAATGAGCCTCACACGACTGAAGTCTTCTGGTGGGCAAGTTATCAAATGCTTGCATGGTTATGCTTAGCTGCTATTTGTTGGAAACTCCTTGATGTGATTGGCATATGGTCTTTCTGATAATTAATAAGCATTGTTGAATCAACCATTGTGTAATTTCAGTTCTTATCTTAGTTCCTGCATTTTGTGCTACTGGTTTTTGTTAATAGCATTGTAATTATATTTTTGTGCTCTTAATAAGTTATGTTAACCATAGTACTTTTCGAAATTCTCGGTAGTGTTAAGTTGATTTTTTTTTTCTTATTGAATTTGAACTACCGAAATTTTAAAAATTCTGGAAAAATAAAGCAAATACCATATTAAAAAATCTGGAAAAATTTGGTCTATTTCCAAAAATTTAATATGAATTAAGAAATTTTGTTTGTATTTTTTACTCAAATTTATCCAAGAACAATTTAAAAATTATAAAAACTTGTAGGAGTGGGAAGTTTAATTGAGGGTGACTGGTTAATTTTTCAAGCGTTATGTTAAAGGCCCAAACACTAAATTGAGAATGCGTGTATAACTATTTTTTTTTGGTTTTAGTGTACAAATATTTTATGAGAATTTCTTACTCCATCTTTTGGGGTTTTTAAGCATCTAGTGTGCTTCCAAAAAAACTCCTCTGTTTTTGGAGACGTATTTTCGAACGCACTTTTTTTTAATTTAACGTTGATTTTTTCGGAGCTACATCTATGGAGTGTTTCTGTTTATATAGCTCCGGAACAAATTGAAATACATTTGCGCCAGAGTCCCTTCTCCTCCCTCATTCTTTATTTTTCATTTTCTTAACTCTCAAACTCTTCAAACTCTTTCAATCCTCAAAAAATCTTTTTTCACCAAACTTAACTTTTTTCAATCAAGTTCGACAAGGAGCATTCATTTCAACGATCAAGACACTCCAACTCATTCAAAGCTCGATATAATCGGTAAGTTTTCGAGTTTCTGAGGTATTTTTGAATATAGTTTTAGGAGTAGAAATCCTTAGATAGTTTTTGAAACATAATTTAGAGGCAATGTAAGTATTGTTTGTTGGCTAAAACGGACGACCAGAGCTTCAAAAAAAACGATTTTCATGGGTAGGAGATGCCATTGTCGTGACTGTTAGAGTTGCAGGAAGTTCCGGAGCTACATCTACGGAACAAATTAACGTTAGGGCAATTCAGTAGATGCAGCTCCGGAACAAATCAAACTTTCTGAATTTTGGGTTCTTCCGTAGATACATATACGGAAGTTTTCCATCTGTTCACATTAGGAAGTAAAAAAATGTTAATTTTTTTCTTTTTTCTTTTTTAATTTATTTGTATCTAATTTTTTTTTTGTTATACCTTGCAGACACTATGGCAAACAGAGAAGATAGATTGCGACTTGGATGGGTTTCACAGCATGCATCTGTGAGATGCGAGCGGAGCTAGGTCACTGTTACTAAGGTCGATACAGTTGAGGCACATTTTTTTCATCACATGCCCAAGACATTCCCTCGACCTCGTATCACACCCCATCATCCACTTCTTCATCCCGGAGGCGTCGGAATTCAGCTGAGGGTTCATCACAAACCCCGTCCTCCCGTAGGCCTCGTCGGGATACTCCTGGTCCTCCTCCTGTCGATGATCCGGTGCCACCTCCAGAGGGTGATGACCCACCATCGGAGGATGCTGGTGACGACGACGATGATGAGCCTGAGGGTTTCTGAAGGGGTCTTTCAGATATGTCCCTGTTGACAAGGCACGCTGACCATACTGTCAGACATGTCTGGGATGGAGAGGTAACATTATTCAGATTATTTCTTTTTTCTTTCATTGGAAATTTATAATTTGTATCATTGTTTCTTTTTAACATTGTTTCTTATTTATGGAAATTTTCATACTCGTCAGCTGCAGAAGTTCTATAACCACGGACGGAAGTTCAATTGAATTCATTATTTATAGTCAGAATTCATATTTGGAGTTCAATTCCATTCTAAAGATTCAAGAACTGCAAGTTCAGTTTAGTTCACATTTTAGAGTCAAACAAATTAACCCTAAAGCTTTGTTCCATCTACTACAAATACTGAACATTACTATGATACAAATGCATAATGTATCTTTAGTGGAAATTCTGATGAAAACTTGCTAATGTTGGATAAGATGGAGCATGTCAATTCTCTTGGTATGCATCCACGTCCTCAGCCTTTTTGCCAAGGTCCATCCCTGGATCTCACGATGAACACTTGAAATTCCCACCCGAGCCCAAGCTGTTTGATCTAAATACTCCACTCCAGCACACCTTACTAACTTTTCTTTTTGATTCCGTAAGTCTGGTGAAAAATATAGAATGTGAGAATTGGTCATATCAACGTGATTAAAAGCATTCATGACAACATCACAATTTCAATAAAAGCAAAACCTTGAGAAATACAACGTGTTTCAGGATGAATCCCACATATGCAAAGAAAGACCTGTTATGTACAATTCCCTCAAGGATTTGGCGGCTTTGGCTTACGCGATCAATATGCTAACCACAATATTGGTCTTCTTTGATATCACCAGGAAATGGTGGTATTTCATCTATAACCGATCCTGCAAAGAAGAAATACACGTTATTAACTGCGGTTATAAAGGTAAGATAGAATGGACAGAAATCTGGGAGTTTACAAGGTGCTTCTCACAATTCCATAAGCACCGTGCCTTGAAGCTGAGGAGGATAGGACGAATTCCCGTACTAAAGTGGCTGCCGTAGAGATGTTGAGAACAACATCGATTGAGAGGAGTCACTGATGTTGAATAGCTATGCATAAGCCATACTCCTATAACTTGTAAATGCGCCTAAGGGGGTGAATTAGGTTCTGAAATATTATTTGCTATCTTTTTCGGTTCTTGGTTCTTTTTCCGGTTATGACGATAGTGACTTGAAAGTAAAGTGTAGGAAAGAAAAAGAGACACAAGAAGTTTATAATGGTTCCCCCTCACACTCCGAGAGTACTCCACTCCCCTTGTTTGAGAGAATGATATTATCAATCTTCACGATCTTCTTCTTGAAACAAATATTACTCAAATAAGTATACAAGTGTTCTTGTGAAAGAAATTGAAATGAAGTTGTGATAGTGTGAAAGTTTATTCAAAGGCTTCTTTCAAAAATTGTTCTTAAACACTTAAAAATGAAAATTTGAAGTATCAAAAGAACGAGTAATTTGAATGATTTTGTTTCTTGAAGGTGAATTGGAATTTTAAATTTGATAGCAATTTATACTGATCAAAAAACCTTTTCAAAAGGGTGTGATTTTGTGCAGCAAAAACAGTCAGAAATAAAAATAGTAATCAATGCATATTTTCATGAAAAGCTGTCATTTTTGCTTGTTGTTTCAGTGTTAATAGGTTAACCAAATGGATTAATCGGTTAACACCTTACAACATTTAAAAATATTCAAAATTTACACATGTTAATCGGTTAACCCTATAGGTTAATCGGTTAACACTGTAACAAAATCACAAATGAGTTAATTTTAAGGGTCGTTAACCGGTTAACCAAAAGGGTGAATCGGTTAACACTGAAAGATTTTCAGAAAATAATTATTTTTAACAAGAGTGAGTATCTTAAAATTATTTTAAAAAGAGTTTGTGGTATATGTAAAGTGAAATGTGAATTTATGAACACTTGTATAGATATTTTCAAGTAATATTTGTTATACCTTTAACTTGATGTTCAAAACTCAATCTTCATTACTTGAAACTTGTAAGAGAAGCTTTGATCCATAGAAGACATATGCGAGAGCACTATCTTGATGCTTGATGTCTTTATTGTTTACTTGATTCTCTTACTTTTTGCGTAGTATAAGTTACGTAGAAAGCTTGTTCTTGTTGTCCTCATCAAAACATTAAATGTGCTTGAAGCTTGCTTCTACAATCTCCCCCTTTTTGATGATGACAACCGATTTTTGAAAAATTTCTTTGATACTTGGTTTTTCTACGTTTGTTTCTCCCCCTGAGTTAAAGCTCCCCCTAAATATAAGAGGTATAATTTTTTCTGCATAATTAAACGTTAGAGAGACCAATCCTTCTCCCCCTTTGGCATTAGCAAAAAGGAAGAGGAGCAACGGTAATGAAAGTAAACATACACACATAGAATAAACACAACACATATTCAAATATCACAAACAAAAACTTTTGTTTTTACAAAATGATTAACAAAACATACGCTCATGAATACGAGACATAAAACATAAAGTTAAATAAATTCTACAACACGATTAAGAACAGAAACAGGTGCTTTAATTATCATCATCTGACATCTCCTCGCTTACATCTTCTTCTTCTTCACTTCCATCCTCATCTTCGTCGTTTCTGGCATTGGGATTTTGAGAATCGATGACAAGTCTTAGAAGTGAGTTAATTGCCCGGGTCGTTTCTCTATGTTGAGTCATCATTGTAATATAGAGAAACTCGTTTGTTATGCCACCTTCCGGGATTGGGAATGAATGGTTGGAGGAAGATGAATCGTCTTCATATTTGTAAGTTCCATCTTTATTTTCACGATGCCGGTATTCTTGATGATGGTAATCTCATTGATCTCATTTGGAGTTGGTTTCAAGGTAATGGATGGTTCTCTGTTCATATCCAAATTTGTTAGTTCCAAGATACTAGAGATGAGTCGACCGTATGGGAGTCAGGTAGATAGAGTGAGTTGCTGTTGGAGATGATACATCATAGTTAATATCCAATTAACTTTGATTTTTTGTTCTTGATGGCATACAAAACCTGCATCTCAAGGTCCTTGATATGA